AAATTAAGTGTTTATTGCTAAAATAAATGTATGGAAATGTGTGATATCCATGAGGGATGGATAATGCAGCGGTAGACCTCACGCTATAGTAGCACCGACTAAGCTATGTGTCCGCTTCCATCCCTATCTTGTTTGGTTCCATTTTCCAAGTTCAGTAGCCAGTCCTACATAGCTTTTTTTTTTATTTAGCGATCAATTTTTTTCCTTATACCTGTATAATAATAATAATAATTATAATTGCACCAGGGCGAGTTTTGGATACGGAAGAGTTGCCCATATTCCTTAACTTAAATGAAATAACTACTTGTGATCTATACAGATCAGGATTATATCAACTTCAGAATCTCGTTTTGTTTTTATATCATAACAGCTGCAGGTTTACAGATAGAACCAAGATACCAAGTGGATCTTATTGAAGGGCTTCGTATATTTAACACCACCTATCGTGGGTTAAACGCAGTAGAGGGATTTCATCAGTTATCACCAGCAGTTAAACTGACAGGTAGCTAATTACTGCTTAGTATTATTTTGAATATCTAAAATAGCAAAACTCGTTAACTTCATCGTCATTCTAAAACCATTACTTGATTAACTTTGAAAATAATTCTTTATTTCTAGATACATCTCGAAAGATTGGTGATAGTCTTAAATTTAAAGATTATAATTAATTTTTAAAATATATGAAATAAGAATTTTAAAATAACTCATGTTTACCTTAGGCATATATCACAGTGAGAGTTTGCATGATGTATAACATTGCTATTTATTTGCATTATGCAATAGTGTCGTTAAACCCAGCTTTTAAATAATAGAAAGGAAAAACAATGAAACATTGAGCCATACATGGAGTGGAAAATTATTAATGTAATGGATTTTATTTCACCTTAAATAACTCATGATAAGGTAATTTAATATGCTTACTTTTCTTTTGTTATTGTTTTATGAAATAATAGTACACTTAAATTTCTAACTGATTTAATGTCTTTATTGATTCAGGAGTCTCCAGGCAGCTTCTGCTACCAAATGAAACTTTCACAAAGGCAGCTAAGCTGCTTTTACACAGTAATGAGTTTACGTTGATGGTTACTCTTAAGCAGGAAAAAAGAAACACGGGAACTTTATTTGGTTTTTCGAGAGGATCTAACAGGTAGCCTTATAGCAATATTACCTTTCTTACCTTTTATTTGTTTTTTTTGTGTACCATTGTTAAAGTACACTGATCGGAGTTTTCTTTTTTGTGTGTACCATTGTTAAAGTACACTAATCGGCGTTTCTTTGTGTGTGTGTTTGTGTGTACCATTGTTAAAGTACACTAATCGGAGTTTTCTTTTTGTTTGTTTGTGTGTACCATTGTTAAAGTACACTAATCGGAGTTTTCTTTGTTGTTTGTGTGTACCATTGTTAAAGTACACTAATCGGCGTTTTCTTTTTGTTTGTGTGAACCGTTGTTAAAGTACACTGATCGAGTTTTCTTTTTTTGTGTGTGTGTACCGTTGTTAAAGTACACTGATCGGAGTTTTCTTTTTTTTGTGTGTGTGTACCGTTGTTAAAGTACACTGATCGGAGTTTTCTTTTTTTTGTGTGTGTGTACCGTTGTTAAAGTACACTGATCGGGGTTTTCTTTTTTTGTGTGTGTACCGTTGTTAAAGTACACTGATCGGAGTTTTCTTTTTTT